CCTGCCCATGGCTGGACACCGGGGGTTTCCTCCACCCCGCCCCAGCCCTTCCCTCGCCAGCACAGCAACACAACACGAGAGAGTGGCAGTGCCACTTACTGTCCTCCTTGGTCTGGATGTAGAGCACGCTGCTGCGGACGCCGTCCCCGGCCTGGGTGTATGCCAGCACCTGCACACTGTAGTTGGTGAACTTCTCCATTCCCCGCAGCTCCACTCGCTCCCGCGTGGTCGTGATGTTCTGCATCTCGCCCCACTCTGTGGGGAGATGGGGACTGTCAGCCCCAGACCACCACCCACCTCGGCCCCCCCCACGGCCTGCCCTGCCCAGCACTCACCTCCATCCATGTAGAGGGACCAGAAGATGACTCGATATCCCTTGAGCACCCCGTTGAGGGTGCTGCGCGGGGGCTCCGACCAGGAGATCACAGCCACGTCCGAAGTGATGGAGATGGCCCTCACGTTCTCAGGGGGCTGGCTGGGAACTGGGGAGAGCATGGATGGGAGGACAATCAGCAGGAGGATGGAGATGCCAGGCTGAAGGAGCCATGGGTCAGCAGCCCTGACTGCACCCATTTGGGACCCCACTGTGCTGCTGTCCCTCTCCCCCAGCTGCTGGAGCCCCTGAGCTGGTCCTGGAGCCCCTGAGCTGGCCCTGCCCACAGTGCTCTGCCTCTGGCACACAGTTTTGCTCCTCCTGGACCACTGATGTGGGTGCAAACCCTGTGCTCATGGTGACAGGGAGGCTGCTGGGACAGGCTGTGCCTCCCAGCCAGGGCAGAGCAGGAGAGATGGCTAGATGTGAGGTAATTAGATCCCATTGCCCCGCAAGAGGTAACTCTAATTTTTATGAGCATTTAAATGATCATACATCACCGTAACGATCCTCTTTGAAAATGATTATTGTTTCATATTACTTAGGTGCAAAAATATAAGCACCATGTAATTAGGGACAGAGTATAATAAACTAATACAGATAGTCCGTTTGAACAAAATGAAGGTAATATAATTATGGAAAAGACACTATTGCTAAAACAGGGGCCCTTGAATACCCCAGGAGGAGTGCTAATGTAGCCAGGAAACGATCGCGGCTTGACAGGCTAACGAGAGTCTTAATTAAGTATGAAAAACTGCTGAGCAAACGCAGTGCAAAACTTTGTTCTCATTGTTTTCAAAATGACTGAGGCCACCAGTGATGTGCCCTAGATGGAAACCTCCCTTGGTGCTTTGGCAATGCCTAAATCCACCTTGGATCCTTCTAACTGTGCCACAAACCCAGTGCCACGTGTGTCCTGGCACTCTCGTGGCCTCAGCTCCTCCCCAGGAGTTATCAGGGTGAGCACAGCTGGTGCTGCTGGTGGCACCCACCACCCCAGGCTTGCCTGGGACGGGGCAGGGAGCGACGGAGGGTCCCCCAGGTGGGACTTGGCACTGTGGAGCAGAACTGCCTGGCTCTGCCACAGGGACAGCCTTACCATCCTCCAGCGTGGTGGCGTTGATCTCGCTGGACGACGGCCCCGTCCCGGCGCGGTTGAACGCCTGCACCACCACCCCGTACTGAGCAAACTTCTTCAGGTTGTCCAGCGTGTAGACCTCGCTGTCCCCCGTGGCTTTCATCTCCACGATGCTGTACTGCCCATTGCTGCCCGGGCTGTTCTCCCGGTACCCGATCTGGTAGCCACGGATCACCCCGTTCTGCAGCTCCTTCTTCGGGGCCTGAGGAGCAAGGAGGGCAGGACAGAGCAGAGTCACACAGGGCCATGCTAACATAGGGCTCCCTGCCCTGACCACTTCTCCCCAGTGGCTTTTCTCAACGATTCTAAGTTGTTTCCTCTCCCCACAGAGTCACTTGGGTGGCAGAGGATTAAAAAGGTTCAGTAGATCCTTGGTGCCACCAGAGAGGAAAGCGCTGTCTGGACAACAGGATGTGCCCAGGAGAAACCCCAAGTCTGGCAGCCTTAGAGTCCAGATTAAGATCAATCTTAACAATATTTCTCTGAAGCATTAAGAAATCAATAGGGTTGATTGCAAATTTATGTTACAAAGCCAGGGTGATCCATCTTGCTGAAATACTCCTGAAACGAAGTGACTTATCTTGCAAGTGAATCTTACTTTCCATTAATCTGTTTTTCACTGCTTAAGGGGAGGGGGGGAGAAGCTGGAACCCTAAATTTATTGACTTAGCAGTTCATTCCCAAGTCCTAACTTTATAATCAATTTTATTTTTCATTAGGCAGCTTTGGAAAAATAAATCCGATTCTAAGTTTTATCGATCTTGGCTCAAACACTTTGCAACCCAGAGCCTCAATTTTTACCTATTTAGCCTCTCTCCCCCATGGCCCCCCATGGACATCCTACAAGCTAATGAGCTTGTTATAGAATGTGATTAATAAGGGCCCTGTGCCACGAGGCGAGCTGCATGCCCAGCCTCCAGGTTTTCATTTTGCCTGGGAAAATCTTCCTGGCCCTTGTTCCCTGACGACACATTTGGTCCCAGGACAAGCACAGACTCAGGATAACGTTTGGCCCCTGTGAGCAGGGAAAACCCATGCACTGCCCCAGACTCACTCACCTTCCAGGTCACCTGGATGCTCTGGGACGTCATGGGCTGCAAGGTGACGTCCATCGGGGGCCCATCAGGAGCTGTGGAGAAACACACAAAAGCATGTTGAGAAGGGTCAGGGAGAGGAGCTCCTTATCAGGAGAACCTTTAGGACAATGTGTCTTAGGCAGCTACGCCCAAGGCTGCAGCCCCCAATGCCACCATCCCCAGTGCCCACACTGTGAGCCAGGACTGGCACCTGCTTCCTCCGTGCTGATGGTGAGCTCCTTGCTGGGCTCACTGCGCCCGATCTTGTTGAAGGAGTACATGCGGATGCTGTACACGGACGCAGGGTGCAGGTCCACGATGTTCGCCTGGTTGATAGTTGGGGAGATGTTGCGTGTAGACTGCTTAAAATCCCAGGAATCTGAAACAGCATCGGAGCAAGACAGAAGGGTCAGCACCAGAATCCCATCCCGGGGGGGCACCATGCTCAGCCAGGTGAGATCCCCAAACACCTCCAGCTTTTGTACCCCCTGAGAGGTGCCACTTCCCCCTCCTTACTGATGTGCATCTGGGTTCAACTTTTTTGCAAATATTGTCTCTTTTAATATTCCCTTTCAAATGCTCCCATCCAACAGAAATTACCATATTTCATTAATGCTGCTCTCTCCTTTCTTCATCAAAGGCACTGGGATGCAGAGTATTCCCGTGGTGGGGCAGCCCTGCACCTGCCTGCACAGCCCATCTGGGGTGCAGCCCCCAGCCCCACGGGGAGAGGATGTCACCGTGTCACTGTCACACACCTGACTTGTTCTTGTACTCGATATCGAACCCGGTGATGATGCTGTTGCCGTCAAACCGCTGTGTCCATCGCAGATTCATACTCCGAGCTTTCACCTCGCGGATCTCCAGCTCCGGCGGGTCCGGGGGCTCTTGGGGACAGAGGGGCAGGTTAGGGACACAGCTCTCCAGGAGCAAGGAGACACTCACAGCAAGGCTTTGCATGCGGAGGATCAAGTACCTTGGACAGTGAGCTGGATCAAGCCTCTGTCCTCGCCGTAGGAGTTGATGGCATGGCAGGAGAAGAAGACCGAGTCCCCGCGGTCGGCTGGTTTCAGCTGTGAATGTTTCAGGCAGAGGAGCCAACTCAGACCGAGCTACCCCCAGCACTGTGCCCCTGCCCTCCCGTGCCTGCTCCCACCACAGTGCTGCTGCTTGGAGTCCCAATCCCTCCAGTGGCATTCCTAACATCTGCGACACCCTCCCCACACACCTCCAGTGCCACCTTCCCCTCTCCCTGGCACAGAGAGACTCCCCTGCAGCCTGGGTGGGTGCAAGACCCCGTTTCCTCACCTTGAGGGTGGAGATGACCTCGTCGCCGTTGTCCTTGGTGGTGATGGCGTAGCGCATGTTGCGGTCGGGGTCGATGACGGTGTCGCCCTTCTCCCAGCGGATGATGATGGGTCGCTCGCCCCGCGCGGTGCAGTTCAGCTCCTTGGTCTGCCCCTTGATGGCGATGGTGGTGTTGGGGTGGGAGGTGATCATGGCTGGGACTGTGGGGAGGCAGAGAGTTACCTGTGTGCCCAGGTGCCACCTGCGGCTCCCCAGAGCCCGC